TCGCGCTTAGCAGGAACTGAACCTGGGTCTCTCTGGACCACAGGCTGACGCTCTAATTGCTGAACCAAACTGGCCAGGGCCCAGATACGTCTTTTTTTTTTATTACTTATTTGTTTTTTCTTTTATTGATGTTAGAGAGGAAGGGAGAAGGAGAGAGAGATAGAAACATCAATGAGAGAAAACATCGATTGGCCTTCTCCTGCATGCCCCCCACTGGGGATCAGGCCCACAACCTGGGCATGTGCCCTGATCAAGAATTGAACTGGCAGCCTCTTGGTGCATGGGTCGATGCTCAATCACTGAGCCACACCAGCCGGGCTCCCCAGATACATCTTTAATCCATCCACGGAGTACCTCCACGGCTGCCACTCTAGAAAAAGCCATTTTGGTTTTGCACCTGGTGACTGCAGCAACCTCCTCATTGGTTTCCTGCTGTTTTCTACCTCTGATCATGGATGGGGTCAGCATAGTTTGGAGTAAAGGGCCTGACTAAATATTTCAGGCTTTGCGGGCCATACAGTTTCTGCTGCAACTACTCAACTGCCCATGCAGCTCAAAAGCAGCCATAGCCAATTTGTAAACCAATAAGCATGGCAGTGTTTCAATAAAACTTTACTTGCAGACACTGACAATTGAATTTTCTGTAACCTTCAGGTGTCACAAAATATTCTTTTGATGTTTTTGAACTGTTTAAAAATATAGACACCATCCTTAGCGTGTAGGCGGTCCAGGCCAGTTTGCTGATCATCACCCTGCTCTAATCCATTCCTCACACACCATCCAGAAACACACTCAGGTCTCTCTTCTGCTTCGATTCTGCACTCTGAATAAAACAAAGCCCACAGTGTCTGGGTGCTCCCCGCCCCTTTACCTCACCCTGGGCCTCTCACCCCTCATTCACCACACCTACCCACTCTACCCTTCTTTCCCAGATGGTCATCTCTATTTCAAGGCCTTTGCACACATTCTGCCTAGAATGCTCTCCTAGGCTTCCTCCTCACTTAGATAACTTCCACATGTCCTTTGGGTTTTGGGGGCCTTTTTGGGTAGAGAAGCTTAAACTTCCTAGATAGGTCTTCTTGGATCCTCCCCCATTATTCATGTTCCCCTTATTATTCTCTCAGAGTCCCATGTCTGTTCTTTCTTCCTTCCTTTCCTTTCCCCTTCCTTCCTTCCTTCCTTCCTTCCTTCCTTCCTTCCTTCCTTCCTTCCTTCCTTCCTTCCTTCTTTCTTTTTTTCTTTCTTTCTTTCTTTCTTAATCTTCACCCGAGGATATTCTTTTCATTCATTTTTAGCTATAGCAGAAAGGAGGGAGGGAAGGAGAGAGAGAGAGAAACATCAGTGTGAGAGAGACACATCAATTGGTTGCCTCCTGCATGACCCCGACCAGGGCTGAGGATCGAAACTGCAACCCAGGTACGTGCCTTTGACTGGGAATTGAACCTGTGATCCTTTGGTCCAAGGGCTGACGCTCTAACTGCGGAGCCAAACTGGCCAGGCTGGCCTTTTAATTTCTTGTTTCTCTTAAAACACCACAATTGGTAATTATGTATTTGGATCTTAACTTGATTTTAGTGGAAAATTCATGAAGTTAGGGACCATGCCTGCTTTGTTTGCATTGTGGACCGAGCACCCAGCGTGGTGTCTGGCAGTGGGTGTTCCCTGACCAACAGCTGAAGGAGTGGATCCTCCACTAGAGATCTCCTCTTTCCCCTACAAGGAGGACCCCTGTGGACTTCAGGGAAGGCCCCAAATGAGCCAGGGCAGGTGTCCTGAGCAGAACCCTCCTGGACACCTGGATTATGCGGAGGCATTTCCGAGGTACCTGCCAACAAATCTGCTGTGGGCAAATTCCTGACCTGGAGACGCTTTCACTGAAGGCTGCACTCTGAAACTTGCCATGCATTTTCACTCTAATGCCATCCATCTGCTGTTCTTCCCGTGTTCCAACCTAGAAACAGCCTCTCCCACAACTCTGTGGGGAGGTTAACCCTTCCCCACAACTCTGGGGTTGCTTGAGATCTTAAAAACATAGCTGTTGAATCAGAATATTTTACTCAGCTGCCAGTCGGGAATGCTGGGGCAGTGTCCAGAGGACACGGAGAGAAACACAGCTGCCTTCAGCTCTCTGCTCACTCTAACCTACCCTCTGCAGGGTTGCCAGAGTTACCTTTAAAAGGAAAAATCTGATCTGGTCGCTCATCCACACTGCCCACTGCTGGTAGGATAAAGTCCAAATTCTTTAATCCACCTCGAAAAGCTTCACCATTCAATCCCAACCTATCTCTTCAGCCTCATCTTCCATCTGCCCCCACCCCATCCTGAACTCAATAGTCTAGACTAGAACTGCTCAGTACAGGTGCCATTAGCCTCTCATGGCTGTTAAAATTTTAATTAATTAAAATTAGATTAAATTTAAAATTCAGTTCCTTAATGGCATTAATCACATCTCAAGTGCCCAGTAGCCATATGTGGTTAGTGGCTACAGCATTGGACAGCGCAGCTATAGAATGTTTCCATCACTGCCGAAGATTCTATTTGGACAATACGACCCACTCACCATCTCCTAAATTTATTTTAATTATATAATTTACACATAAGTACATTCTCATTGTTAATTTTCTAACATCACAAAAATCTCCTGTACCAATTCTAGACCTCTCTCTAGAGATAATCTCTGAAATAAATTTGGTATATATTCTCTCTGAATAGAATATTTAGTGCTGCACTTTGCTTTTTTCATTTAACAGTGTCGTAGAGATCTTCATATAAGAACACATCTCTAGCTATCTTATGTTTTAGGTACTGCAGAGTAATCCAAAGCATGGATGAACTTTAGGTTATTTAACCATTGCACTCTTTTGAGCATTCGTTTTGTTTTCCCTTATTTCAAACAATACTATACGCAAACATCATTGTATATTTTTATGCACTTGCACACGTTTGTTTAGGGTAGATACCAAAACGTGGAATTGTTGGGTCATATGCTTACACCTCTGGGGCTTGGCACGCCCTGGTACTCCCGCCTAGAATGCCACTCCACATGATTAATTCCTGCTCATCAAGACCAATCAAGTGTCACCACCTCGTGAAAGGCAGTCTCTTCTGCCTCTCTTCCCATAATACTTCATATCCATATCGTATCATTATTGTATACCTGGGGCTCTGCCTTATTTATCTTTGTATTCCCAACACCCAAGCATAGGGCTTAGCATAGAATAAAAATTGAAATGTTTTCTTGGATGAATGCATGAATAAATAAATAAACAAGTGAAGGCACAGTGGTTAGAACATTCCAGATGCTCAAGGTGAGTGAGTCTGTGAGTGTTGTGAGCTTGGGCTTTGGACCAATCTGCTACCTGGTGCCTCAAGCCAAACCACCTCTCTAGGTTTCTGTCTATCCAGCCCTCCGACCTTGGGCATCTCATCTTGAACTCTGTTCAAATTGGGCACTCCACTGATAGAGCAGTGTGCATATGTAGGGGCTCTGGCTGTCGAGCATAGAAATCTGAACCCTGGGGGCAGCTCTGGCTCAGTTTTTCCCCTTTGAAGCAGCTCGGTATGCTCTGGGTTTGGGTTTATTTTTCTCCCTATGGTACCTTAGGGGCAATTAAGATCAGCTGCAACATTTCTGTTTTCTGCTTCCAGATTGAACCCAAGGGAAGCCAGATGTTTTACACCAGGCACCCACTCCTTGTGGTCTGATTAACAGCCCGTTTTCTGAGTCTCTCTGTGACCTGGCTTCCTCAGATCCAGAGCCTGGCTTGTAGCCTTTATTTTTAATGGGGTTTTAATAAGTGGCTCCTGTAATTAATTTCATTCTTGTGTTTTCACACTTTCTGTCTAGGTGCCTAGAGGCCCCAGGCAATAGGTGGGATGTTAACAGATTTTAAATAATACAAAACACTGTGGCTAGACACTACTCCAGCTCCTCTCATTCGCAGTTGTTTTACAATCATTACTTAGCTGGGGAACATGGCCCATTTGGGAGGTCAGCCGGTCACCTGTCCTGTTTTATAGAGGTAGAAAGAGAGACATGGAGAAAAGGGTCTTGTCCAAGCCCCAACAGAGAGTGGGTGTTGAAACTGGTTTCAGAAGCACATCCTGCTGGGTACACAACTTTGTGAGAGGCAAGGCGAGGATCCACTCCTCAGATACCATTTGCCAAGCGGTTTGAGGTCTCAGGCCAAAGGTGGTGCGTTTTGGGTGCCTGACAGGCATCTTGGGGAGGCAGTTTCATCCTCCCACAGGGACTGCGGAGCAAGTCTACCCTCAGCAGCGAATACTACCACCTGAAATTACCCCCATTCATTCTCTTCAGGCCTTTTCCATTTTATGAGCAGATTATCTGCATAATGAACGCATCAGTAATTCCTCCCGGATTTAGAAACACAATTTTGCTATTTTTAAAGCTACCGTTTAAAAATCCGCGCACACATACACTCCTCTGGGAGTGTGTGTCAGGGGCGGGGGGAGGTGGTGTGTACCGTGTGCGTTGGAAGAGTACGTGCTGCAGAGAGAACAGCGTGACCCTGGGCTTCCCAAAGCGCCGCGTCATCCCCCTGGGGGCGCACTCCTCAGAACGCACCCTGGGCTCTCCAACCCCGAGCGGATTTTGATCCGTCTGGATCCTCGGAGCACACTAGGCGTCCGACCCCGCCGACCTGAGTTCCCCTCTCGCTTGCCAGGCGGAGGGCACGGCCGCCGGGTCACCAGCTCACAAGCGAGCAGGAGGGGAGGGGAGGGGAGGGGAGGCCGAGCAGGTGGCGATTAGGTCAGCTTCGGAACATTCTTGGACCGCTCCAGTGGATATAAATAACAGACGGCAGGCTCCGAAAAATGCCGGGGTGGGGGTAAGGGGGTGAGGAAGAAGGGATTTATTTAGGGTGGGGTGGCATCGTGGCGATCTGGAAAAATACACCAAAGCTGGTGACTGACAAAGGCGGTGGAGGGGCGAAGGGATCTAAGAGTAAGTGGCACAAAATCTGGGACTAAGAACACGAAGGGGGAGGAGCTCATGCTTTTTTGCCCCACCCCCACCGCGTGTCAGTCCCAAGCTTCAGAATTCGCTTCAGGTTGGCAGGCAGGACTGTGCATTGAAAGGGCATGGCTTTGGAATCCTGGCCTTGCCCCACTACAGATCTTGGGCAAGCCGCCGAAGGTATCTGATCCTCAGTTTCTGCATCTGTACAATGGAAAACCTAATGCTTACAAGGGGACGGCTGTGAGCCACGTGGGAGCTAACTTCTAAGAAATCTGTGATCTGCAAAAAAATGTAAGGCAGTGTAGCCCCCAGGCCTCCTTCAAAGGGTGTCCATGCGGCCCGATCCCTTCCCGCTTCCACAGGTCTCCCAGACTCTGCAAAGCCGGGGAGGGGCAAAGCTGAAATCGGACTCCCTGCAGCGGCTCGGCGCCAACCTGGGAAATCGGCCCTGGCACTTCTCACGCGGGAGCCGGGACCCACGGTCCGCGCCGGGGTAGCCGCGATGCCCACAGCCCCTGCGCCCGCGGGTGGACGGTGGGGTTGGGGCCGCGGCGGCGAGAGGAGGGCGGGGCGGGGGGCTGGGCTTCCCGGGGGAGGGCCCGGCGCTCTCCGGGAGGCGGCGGCCGGGGCCCGGGAGCGTCAGGACTCGGGCCGGAGCGTGGCCGGACCCCAACTCACCGAGGCGCGCAGGGAGTTCGCGGTGAGTGCTCCGGACGGGGACCGCGGGAAGGCGGTGGCGGGAGCGCCGGCTCCAGCCCGCCCTCACCTCGCTCCCACTCCTGAAGTTTGCAATGGGACCGACTCCCGCCGCGGCAGCCCCCGGCCACCCCACTCTGTGCGAGTACAGAAAGAGTTGCCACTAAGCCGAGGGGGTGCCTCATCTGCGGCGTCACGCACCCCGAATTTTCCCAGGCCGGCCGCGGGGAGGGGGGCTTTGGGACTGGAGGGCCACACAATCTCCTGGGGCCTCTTCGGGGCCGCAGATCGCCCTGGGGTCCCAGAAAGGGCCTTCGCTCCCCGGCGACCCTTTGCCCTCCGCAAAGAGTTCCAATTCCTGGGGCCGCTGCTCCCGCCCCATTCGAGTCCACAGCGGGGGCCCCCTCCCCTCATCGGTGATCAGCCGGCCCCACCCCCGCCGAGACCGAGTTCAACAAGTTTGGCCGAGAAGTCCTAGAACTTCCATTGCTAGGCCTGGCCAGGCAGCTCCGCATGGGCTCCATGGGCTCCTAGTTGTGCAGCGCCGGGCTGGCAAGAGGGGCCGGTCGAAGGGCGACGTCCATAGGGTTGAGACCAGAGCCTGCCAGTCCCTGGGCTCTGAGGTTTGGTGTGGAAGCTCCGGGTTTGGAGTGCGTCATCAAGGAGCAGGCACCTCGGCGGGCAGGTCGGGTTTCCGAATGTGCCCCTTTGTTATGCCCCTCCCTGGCCCTGCCTCCTCCCGTCTCTGCGCCACCCCCTCCCCCAGCCTCTCGTGCCACCGATTCCAGCCGCCGCCGTAGCCTAGGTGTCCCACTGGACCAGTCTACCGCCCACTCCTGTGCCTTCAAATCAGGGCTGCCGGCCCACCGGGAGGGGCTGCTGGAAGAGGCTCCTGGGTGCAGCCTGTGACTCAGGACAGGAAGGATGGGCAGGGCAGGGTGGCAGTGCTCCCTCCCAGGGGCTTGCCCCCAGCTTCTGGGAACGGTAACTTACCTGCCTCGGGTAGGGAGAGTGGGTTTTCCCCTGAACCCCAGGTTTCTCTACTTTGGCCCAGGCAGCTGTGAGGAGACTCTGCCAAGCCCCCGCCAACTTCTCTGGGCCCAGTAGGTGCTGACTCCCTGGTCTGGGAAGCTTTCATTATCTGCTTTCTGAGCTCTTGCCTGTGGCAGAGAGTGTGCTGGGGACCCATCTGCCTCTGCTGAGGTCAGGAGGTGCAGGGTACTGACCCTCCTCAACAGGGGCCAAGATGTAAGGCCTACAGCTAGATCCAGCTGGGGCTGTGGGGCCTGGCTGTGCCTGGGGCTGGGTCTTGTGTTTGCTCTGGGAGGCCAGAGGGAGCAGTGCCAGCCCTGCACACACAGCTTGCTCTGTTCTGGGGCTAGAGAGAGGGAATGGGTGGGGGGCAGCTCTCCCGGGAGCTGGGAGCATGGAGGCTGGAATGGGCAGGGGGCCCAGGCCCCTGGGTGCCTGACTGGGATAGCACTAAACACCGGTGATTTACAGCTGCAGCTCTGGTTTTCTCCATCTGGTTGGCAAGTCCTTTCTGGGCAAATGGGGTGGATTCAAGAGGAAGCAAGGTGAAACGCTGAGGACCCTGATGGGGCCAGCTGCTCTGCTCTGTGACCACGCACCTCCTTGCAGGCCTGAGCTCTCCTGTTAGCTTAGGGCTGGAAGCCCACTCAGGCCAACCTTTCGCACAGGTGATATAGCCAGCGGGTTTCCTAGTCTTCAGGGGGATGGCGTTTGCTTTTCATTCAACTGCTAACTCCAGTGCCTGCAGGAACCCAAATTGGACCCTCAGGAATTCTCTGTCAATGACTGGGCAGATCCTGTTCTGCAGTGGGATTTATACGCCGACTGAGGGGTCACAGAGGCTGTGGGAATGGTGATGGCGAATGGGGCTGTGTGCGACTGTGGACAAGGTGCCTCAATTTGAGTTTGGAAGAAGAGGTAGAGGTTCATCAGTTGAGGGGAGCATTGCAACGAAGCCTCGCTTTGGGGGCGAGAGGTACATTCTTTCCACATTGGCCTGGTGGTGTCTCCTGGGCTTGCTCAAAGGAGGAAGCAGTTTCCTTCTAGGAGCTTGAGTCAGTGCTGCGGACAGCTGAGACCCCGCAGAGGCAGGAAGGGAACGGCCACATGCCACTGTGTCCTCTAGCCCCTGGGGTGGTAGATGTGGAGTTGGAATCCGCCTTTGCCCTCCTCTGTGAGTCTGGAGAATACTTTTATAACTGGCCAGTCACCTGTGTGACTCCTTTATGCTGCCCCAGACTGGGCTTTTTGGGGGTGGGGCCGAGTTGCTCATTACCCACAGAGCCCTGTGGGATCTCAGATGCTGTGGAACAGGATGAGTGTCTCCTTGTGACTGTCAGGCCCTTCACACTGCTGTTAATTGCTTGGTTTGAGTGTTACACCAGCCCTGGCACAGAAGCAGACTAGGAGGCAGAATTTCCATCTTAGGAGGGAGCTGAGGCGCTCTTAGGAGGGGACCGTAAAATGCACTACTTTAAGCTTCTTGGCCAAGATAGGACTCTCAGGCCTCTTGGCTCCCAGTCCTTCCCAGCACAGGGAAGTGTGGCTGGGCACCCTCTGTCTTGGCCTGGTCCAGAAAAGGGTCGCCTTGTTCAAGGAAAGACAGCAGGGCCGCCGGCTGGGGCAGGCGTCCTCTTTCTCATCTAGAGTCGGGAGTGGGGCCCTCTGCCCACCACCCACCCCCGCCTGCCATCTAATCCCCAGCTGGATCGTGTGACCTGCCTGGCATTCTCCTGGCTGGAATTTGGCGCTTCTGACAGCAGTTGCTATATCGGGGGAGCTGGGCACCGCCCTGGACGTTCTAGATCCCCACCCTCACCCCCTGCTTTGCTCTCATTAGCTTCAAGTCACAGTGGCAGCTTTGAGAGTTGGACAGCCAGGTTCCTGAAGTGACTGATCTCTAGGCTCCAGGTACATGGGATGAGATGGGGGGGAAGGGCAGACCTAGGGTGAGAGAAGGAGCTTTGAAACCGCCATCCTTGACCCTATCCTGGCCCCTCCTGGGGACTTCCAGACCCCTGCCTGTTATGTCCTAGCTCTGACAGCTCCTTGGTTGGTGTGGATGGCAGTGGGGGTGAGGCCCAGGGATAGGAGAAGGTCTTTTCCTGTCCCAAAAAGCCTGTGTCCAGCTTCTCTGCTCACCTCTGTACTCCACAGCCCCAATCTGCCACCATTCCGTGCTGCGGGGACACCATGGCTCCAGAGGAAGCCACTGGAGGGGAGGCCCTAGAGGGCAGCTTCTGGGAGGTGAGCAGCTAGGTCCCAGGTTTGGGGGTGGCACTGTAATGCCAACCCCTCTGGGCCCAGCCACCTGTCCAGGGGAGTTGTCTAGCTGTCAGCCCCAGCCCTGCAGGAGGCTTCTCCCTGGCCACACTGCTCTTTCCATGTACACCCCAGGCTGGCAACTACAGGCGGACGGTGCAGCGGGTAGAGGACGGGCATCGGCTGTGTGGGGACCTGGTCAGCTGCTTCCAGGAGCGTGCCCGCATCGAGAAGGCCTATGCCCAGCAGCTGGCTGACTGGGCCCGAAAGTGGAGGGGCACTGTGGAGAAGGGTGAGCCAGCATACGGGCCTAGCAAGGAGCAGAGTGCCATCCATGTGGGGAGATCAGGCAGGGTAGCTTCTTTTTGCACCTCTTGTGGAAAGGTTGAGGCTCCCACATCTGCCTTCCCTTTAAAGGAAGATCCTCCTGGTAATTCTCACAGTAGTTATTTTGATATTTCTAATAACAACCCTATGACGGAGATAGTCCTGATCTACAAATTTTCTGGAGGACAATCTGGAAGTTCAGAGAAGCCAAGTGACTTGCCTGAAGCCACACAGCTAGGAAGAACTTAAGCATGAGCCAGGCCTTCTGATTTGAGATCTTTCCACCCTAACATGCTGCCTTCTTTGGGGACAGACACTGGTTCCTCCTCTGAGGCATCAGAGTACAGTGGTTTAAGCCACAGACCTGGGTTTTGAATCTCAGGACTGCAGGCTGATGCTCTAACCGCTGACAAACCGGCCAGGGCTGGGTTTTGAATCTCAGTTCCACTTGTAGCAGTAATACTTTGGGCAATTCACTTCACTTCACTTCACTTCTCTGGGCTACCGTTTTTTCGCTTGTTAAATATGAATTGTGACACTGTCTTCATGGTGGGGAATGAGGCAAGGATTCAGTGAGTTTTGGTATGTCAGGACACAGACAGTGTCAGTAGGCAGCACCTGACATTGTTGTCGTTTATCTTTGCATTCCTCCCTCTGAGCCTGGCACCTGGACACAGCACCCAGTAGAGGGGGCGGGCTTGTTCCTGGTGGTGTCCCTGGCCTGGCCCGGCCCAAGTCCCATCCCTCCCTGCAGGCCCCCAGTACGGCACGCTGGAGAAGGCCTGGCACGCCTTCTTCACGGCAGCCGAGCGGCTGAGCGCGCTGCACTTGGAGGTGCGGGAGAAGCTTCACGGACAGGACAGTGAGCGCGTGCGTGCCTGGCAGCGGGGCGCCTTCCACCGGCCAGTGCTGGGTGGCTTCCGAGAGAGCCGGGCCGCTGAGGACAGCTTCCGCAAGGCCCAGAAGCCCTGGCTAAAGAGGCTGAAGGAGGTGAGCCTGGAAGGGATGTGCATGAGAGGCATGCCCCTCCCTAAGTCCATGGGCCAGGGGCGTGGTGTGCAGGGTTCAGAGTTGTCCCTGTGTGTGTCAGGTTGAGTCTTCCAAGAAGAGCTACCATGGAGCCCGAAAGGAGGAGAAGACAGCGCAGACTCGGGAGAGCCATGCGAAGGCAGACAACGCGGTCTCCCAGGAGCAGCTGCGCAAGCTGCAGGAACGAGTGGACCGCTGCACCAGGGAGGCGGAGAAGGTACTGGCCATGGGACTGGCTGGCCCCGCTTAGGGTTTCCTGAATGCCTTTCCCAGTCCCCAACACTCTTCCTGCTCGCATCCTCACCTGCCACCTTCTCTCAGATTACCATTTATTTATTTATTTTTAAATTTTTTTGGTACGTGCCCCTAGTGGAAACTGAACCCGGGACTCTCTGGTCCACAGGCCGATGCTCCAACCACTAAGCCAAACCGGCCAGGGCCAGATTACCATTTAAAGGAACAACCTGAGAAAACATGATGCTTTACCCAGGGAAAGAAACAGTGCAAGTTCAGGCACTGGGATTTTAGCAGCTGAGACCTTTCTAGCGCTCTTCCTTTCCCAGTGTGCCACCTGGGACAACTTCTCACATTGCTTGCTCTGCCAGAGTGCCCTTTCCGCAAGCTCTGCATATCCAAAGCCTCCCATCCTCTGAGGTGCTACTCAGTCTCTCCCTCCTCCAGGAAGCCTTTCCTGATTTCTCCACCCCTCACCAATGTACATCTCACTCTTCACTCTCCATCTCATCTTACTCTCACTTTTAGTTTTCACTCACCAGACTCAAAGCTGCTGTGCCCAAATGTTGCCTCTCTTATTAGGCTGCTGGGGCCCTAAAGGTAGGAGCTGGGCCTTGTGACTGGTTTCCCCTGGTGCCTAACCCAGGGTCTAGCCCATGGCAGGTACACAGTAAATACTAGCGGAGTCCTGAGTGGAAGCAGGTCTCGTGCTGATCAGGTCTCCTCCTCTCCCACCCAGATGAAAACCCAGTATGAGCAGACGCTGGCAGAGCTGCATCGCTACACCCCACGCTACATGGAAGACATGGAGCAGGCCTTCGAGACCTGCCAGGCTGCTGAGCGCCAGCGGCTTCTCTTTTTCAAGGATATGCTGCTTACCTTACACCAGCACCTCGATCTTTCTAGCAGTGAGAGGTATGGCCTGCAGGGTGGGTGAGGAGATCTAGGGAAAAGCTGGGTCTCTTCCATTTCCCCCGGGGTTTTGGCTGGGCTGAGTGAGACTAGGGGGGTGCAGGGGCCCAGGGCTTCCTAGTTTTAGGGTTGTGCCTTGGGATACAGGTTCCATGAGCTCCACAGAGACCTGCATCAGGGTATCGAGGCAGCCAGTGACGAAGAGGATCTGCGTTGGTGGCGCAGCACCCATGGACCGGGCATGGCCATGAACTGGCCACAGTTTGAGGTATGTGTTCCAGTTGGGGCTGGGAGGTGGGGTGTGCTTCTCCTGGGCTCAACTTGAACCTCAGGAGGGAGGCTAGGACTTGGGATGAAGTAGGTGAAGGTGGTTTGGATGGCCCTGTATGCCACCACAGTCTTCAGCCCAGCTTGACCCTAAGCACTGTCCCCACAGGAGTGGTCCTTGGACACACAGAGGACAATCAGCCGGAAGGAGAAGGGTGGTCGGAGCCCTGATGAGGTTACTCTGACCAGCATCGTGCCCACAAGAGATGGTGCTGTGCCCCCACCGCAGTCCCCTGGGTCCCCAGGGTAAGAGCCAGGAGCCTGGCTGTGCAGCTCTGGCCCCTGCCTTTCCTTCATTCCCTTCCCACCTGAAATGGGTTTAAAACGGGTGCCAGGGACCCTAGGACTGTAATGCCAGTTTTCATGGTGGTTTAGATTTGCCAGGTGTTTCCCACGTTCCCTCTCATCTACTGCTCCTGTCAGCACTGGTGGCAGGATGAGCACCTGTGCTCACAGGCATGTGTGGCAGAGAGCTCAGACTAGACTCTTTCAGTTCTTCCCCACCTGCCTCTCCCAGGGTTCCTCCAGGGGTGAGCTTTCTCTGCCAAGGTGTTCCTTGTGCTCTGAGCCTGCTCCCTTCTGCCTCCCCTCTCCAGCAGTGGGCAGGATGAGGAGTGGTCAGATGAGGAGAGTCCCCGGAAGACTGCCACTGGGGTGCGGGTGCGGGCGCTCTATGACTACGCTGGCCAGGAAGCTGATGAGCTGAGCTTCCGAGCAGGTACGCTGGTGTACCTTTTCTGTTCCATTCCAGCCTTCAGCCTCCCCTTCCCCATTTATTGTCCTGAATGGGGGTGTGGAAAAGGGAAGCCAGACATCTACTTCTCAAAGGCCAGTTCATCTGATGCCTAAAGTTGCTTTGGGTCTAGTTTGCAAGAGTCAGAGTGTCTGCTCTGAGCCCTCACCTGCCTCTCAAAACTACCAGCTGGGGCCTGATCGCTGCATTTGGGGTCTGGGGTGGGGTGGTTTGCTGACTTTGACCTCTCTCTGCCTGAGCCATGTCTGTCTCTTCCCTTAGCTGGATTCTCTGGGTTACTGCCTGCTCTCCCCCAGTCCTTGACCCAATTGCAGGAATGGGGCTGGGCCAGGGCAATTGGCAATGACCAATCCCCCTTCCCCCAGGGGAGGAGCTGCTGAAGATGAGCGAGGAGGATGAGCAGGGCTGGTGCCAGGGCCAGCTGCAGAGTGGCCGCATTGGCCTGTACCCTGCCAATTACGTGGAGTGTGTAGGGGCCTGATTGCCCTGACAGCCCTTCTGCAACGTTTCTCCATCCTGAGCCAGAGCTCAGCTTCTCCTGAACAGCGGACCTGAGGGCCCTGAACCATTGTGCCCCTGCTACCGTCTGTCCCTCGAGTGGGGAGGGCACCCGGGAGCCGGGGGGAGGGGAGGGGCCATGTCTAGGAAGGGAAGGGCCAAATGAGTCCAGGCAGAGGGCAGAGGGTAAGATGAGGTCAGGTGACAGAAAGGATTCAGGGGTACCTGGGCCTCCCTAGGAGTGCTTTGGTCTCCTCAGGATCCATGGACTCGATTCCTGGTCTATGTGTTTTGGGGTTCCTGGGGTGGACTTGGGGTGAGTGTAGATCTGGGCTAGCAACACTCTTTTTGGCTTGTTCTAGCGTGTATTAAACTTGAAAAAAAAAAATGTCAGGCTTGTGTGTATCTTTTTTCATACTTTACCCTTGCCAGGCTGCAGAGGGCATCCGGAGAAAGGCCCTGAGGGGAGATCGTGGCCTCGAGTATGTTATGGGGGCGAGGGCTGGGCAAAGGTTCGCCAGATGGTACCTGCTCTGGAACTTCGGGACCTAACCTTGGGGGGAAGGGGCTGGAGGTCAGGCTTGGTGCTGCGTTCTGAGCGTGCGGGGCCCGGCCAGTTTGTTTCCCGCTCAGGCCGGTGGGACCAGAGTGCTCGGTAGGACTGTTAATCATTACTCACCCACCGGGAACGACCCGAGCGGAGGCCCGGAGCCCTAGCCTGGCAGCCCACGCCTTCTGGGAGGCGCCCCACCTCCCCAGGCTGACGCTAGGCCGGCTCGGCCGGGCCCGCCTGGGGCCGTCACACCGCCCCGGCTGCGGATTGGCCCCGGCGTAGCGCGGCGTGGTTTCGGGCGACTATTGTGGAGGCGGGGCTGTGACGTTTCTGCGCCTGTTCTGCCGGCCGCTCATTGGTCCAGCTCAGGGCGAATCGCCCCGCCCCTCGGCTGGCTTGGGAGCGGCTGCGGCCGACTGCGTGCCCCTCTTTCCTGGCCGCGGATTGGCCCGCGACGGGGTCCGTGGTCGCGCTGGCGTCTGGGAAGGAGAGAAAATGGCGTCCGAGCCGAGCAAGACCGAAATCCAGACCCTTTTTAAGAGGCTCCGCGCGATTCCGACCAACAAGGTGCATAAGCGGGAGGCGTGCGGGGTCTACGCCGGCCGAGAGGGATTCTCCCGGCTCTCCTGGGGCCCGAGGGCGGGAGAGGGGCGGACGTGGGCTGTTTTCCTGGGTGTCAGTGCCCGGCTCGACTCGGGGCCCCTGATCATTTGCTCATCGCCTCCTCCACCCAGGCCTGCTTTGACTGTGGTGCCAAGAATCCGAGTTGGGCCAGCATCACGTACGGTGTTTTCCTGTGCATTGACTGCTCCGGGGTGCACCGTTCCCTGGGTGTCCATCTCAGCTTCATCAGGTGAGGTCCCCTTATGGCTGCTGTGTTTCTGTGAGGCAGGGGTTGTGTGCTCAGCAGAGCAGAGTGGCGACCTGGGCCACCCTAAATTCGGTGTTCGGAAAACTCCGGGCCGGGGTCCGGTGGCCTCCCGCGGGAGGGAACCGCCTGTGTAGACTCCTTGCCATATAGACAGTTCATCTCCGCGTCTGGGTCAAAACCCCCTTTTCTGGCGGTCAAATTCGATTCTCCGAGCGTTAGTTTTGGGGAAAAGTTAGCTGCATTGACCTTGCTGTTGCTGATACATTGGTCAAGTACGTCTGTAGTGAGACTGACCGTTCTTAAGGGGAAAGCCAAATCCAAACTTAAATGCCTTTCGGATCTGGAACATAATTAGTACCCTGTTGACTACACGAATGAAGAGCAAAGCTTTCGTGGACAGGGTCAAGTGGAGGAAATAGGGTGGTGGCTAATTAATGTTCACTGGGCACCTGCTGCAGCCCAAGGCCAAATGACAGGTGTCGGTTTGCCAGGGAAGTGGCTCCTGGTATCTGCTGGTGAGTGACATGCAGCCCTTGCACACAGGTCCACAGAGTTGGATTCCAACTGGAACTGGTTCCAGCTGAGGTGTATGCAGGTCGGCGGGAATGCCAATGCGGTAAAGCTCCTTACCATCCTCCCCACCCTCCTTCTTCTGCGTGGGTACTAAGTTTACGATGAACTCAGTTTCTCTGGTCAGAGGATTCTTTTGTCTATAGCAACACTGTGCACCGTTCTCTAACCTTGGAAATTGGTCACTGTTCTTCTCAAAGGGGCTTCAGATGAAAGCTAAACTGGACAGATGTCCTTGGGGAAAGGCTAAGGGTAATGGGACCTTCACAGTCCTCCAAGTCTTGGCCTGGATGGGTGAAGGATGGGCAGAGTGGGTATGGCATGCCCTCCTCAGGTAGGGTTGACTTAAGGCCAGGCTTCAGTCAGTCATCTCAGAGGATGGGAGGTTGTGTTTTTCGCAGGAATTTCTGAGGCTGTTTACCTCTGAAAAACTGCTCATGTCAGTAGAGTATAATAATCTAGTATAAATAATAGTTGGACTGTTATAAGGAGGTTCCATTTTCTGTTCCGGGGAGAATCACCTGTAGCATGCTCTCCTTTCTTCTGGACTCTCTAGACAGCTTTCTTCCGCCAACATGGATGCACAGCCAGTGATGCCAATACCAAATATAAAAGCCGAGCTGCCCAGATGTACCGGGAAAAGATCCGGCAGCTGGGAAGTGCGGCTCTGTCTAGGCATGGCACCGATGTAAGTGTCTGGTCCCCAAGACTGGGGTAGTGGGGTGAGTGGGAATATTCAGAGCCCTGTTTCAAGAGTGTCTTGTCCCTTCTAGCTTTGGATAGACAATATGAGTGGTGCTCCCAGTCATTCCCCAGAGAAGAAGGACTCTGATTTCTTCATGGAACACACTCAAGTGAGTACCCACAGGATTGTTTCCCATGATTGTTTCCGAAAGGTGGTTTGCTGGCCAATCCTTCTGTGATCACAGGCATGGATTCCATTCACCTTGGTGTGATACTTCAGACAGGGAATGTCTGGGGCTCACTGTTAGGTAGGCCCAGGTGTTTCCTTCTCCCATGAGTAGGCGTGCAAAGTGGCCTTCCTTAGGAACAGATCCCTGTCTATAAACTGGGATGGTAGGGAGGAAGAAGAGAAGCTTCTTGAAGGCTCAAGAGGTGCTGGGAATCTCAAACAGTTTTTCCTGGATTCTTCCCCTATAAGAGAGGCACTGTGGTTGGGGACAGTGACAGGAATCCTCTATAGCAGTGGTTCTCAACCTGTGGGTCGCGACCCCTTTGGGGGTCAAACAACCTTTTCACAGGGGTCACCTAAGACAACAGTAGCAAAATTACAGTTATGGCCCTGGCCGGTTTTGCTCAGCGGTTAGAGCGTCAGCCCGCGGTCCTGAGAGACCTGGGTTCCGTTCCCGCTAAGGGCACGTACCTCAGTTGCAGTTTGTTCCCGGCCCTGGTTGGTTGTGCAGGTGGCAGCCACTTGATGTGTCCCTTTCACGTTGATGTTTCTCTCTCTCTCTTCCTCTCTCTCCCTCCCGCTCTGTCTGAACAAAAAATGAAAAAATGTCCTCGGGTGAGGATAAAAAAAGAAAAGTGCAGTTATGAAGTAGCAGTGAAAATAATTTTATAGTTGGGGGTCACCACAACATGAGGAACTATATTAAAGGGTCATGGCATTAGGAAGGTTGAGAACCACTGCTCTGTAGAAACCCACCCTGGAAGGAGGTTTCCCCTCTACTGGCACTGGAGCTGATGTTAGACTCTCTCAGTTTGAATCCCAGCTCCTCTGCTTGGCATTTCTAGGACGTGACTAAATCACTTAACCTGTCAAAACCTAGTCTTTACAGTAGAGATGTATCTACGTCCCAGGGTTTGTTGTGATATGTAGTGTGTTTGTATGTGAAAAGCTTTTAGACTTGTGTTTGGCACATGTAAGTGCCCAGTAGTTGTTAGTTAGTAAATTAGGGGAATGGGTTCTGGTTCTAAGTAAATAGTGAAGGGGTGGAAGTGGCTGCTAGTTTCCTACTTTTTTCTCCCATATGAATAGCAACTATAATTTTACTCACTAACCTGTAGTCTCCTTCCTCATGGGCTTGGAGTAAGGCCTTATATCCACAAGGTACTTGTAGGTTCTTGGTGCTGCTTGCTAGCTCATTGAGGTTTCTGTGATCTGGCCTCCATTTTAGCCCCCTGCCTGGACTGCACCAGCCAGCGACCCTGCAGAGACCCAGCAGCCAGCCCCGTCTGCAGAGAGCAGTGGATTGGCACGTGAGTTCAGCCCAGATTCCAGTCAAGTGCCTTGGTCCTGGTAAAGGCCTCGGGGCTGGGAATGGGACACCTGGTCAAGGGAATAAGAGTGTGGAGTGGGGCAGGGGGAGGGGTCTCCTATATCTCTGGGTGGGCTGGGATTCGTTTTAATCCCTTGGAGGAAATGATGGTCATTTCTTTTATCTTTTGGTGGCCTCCGCAAGCTGAGGAAAGCCAGTGCTCCCTACTCTTGTCCCATCACTTTCCTAAAGGGAAAGTCACAGGAAGCTTTGAGCCTTAAAACTAACTCCCACCATTGCACCCACAGAGCCGGAGCATGGCCCCAACACAGACCTGCTTGGCACCTCACCCATAGCTTCTCTGGGTCAGTATGACAGCTGGCAGATGTGGGGTGACTGGGAGAGGGTGGGCCTTGAGACTCTTTTCAGATTTGTTGCTGCCTAGTCACGTGGACTGAGGCCCCAGGAGACTGAGCATCTTAACTCTCTGGAGTGGGACTGGAGTGGGATTCATGGCTGCAACATCTACTGCAAGGATTTTAGAGCCAGGCCCTTTGAAATGGTGAACCTGGGTGGGCTGGTGTGTAAGGCTTGTGTCTGCCTCGGTGTGAGGCTGGTTCTAGCCAAAGTATGGGTTGCTTAGCATGAGACTGGGACACCTAATACTGAGGTCTGAGGCAGGGTTGGCCTTCTGGTCCATTTCATGGGATAGGGGGACAGCTCTGAGTTGCTCATGGCTGGAGGTGACAGTGTCCTTTCTTAGCCAGGGAGGCCATTCAGCTCTTTTCTACTCTTTCTTTAGTGTCCTTCTGGTTCAGGGTGAACAGTCCATTTTCTGACCTCGGTTTGTTCTGTTGACCTTTGGGGATTGGGGCAGGAAGCCCCATGAGAAGGCTGGCATATCTTGGTCTAAAGCAAGACTCTGCAGAGGCCTCTGGGAATAACTTTGGCCACTGGGCTTGGGAACTACATGGAGGCTCTAGGGTGGGCCCCTTGTTAGTCACCAGTCTGTTTCTCTCCAGAGTCCATGTATCTGTCACCTAAAGGGGCTCTTCCTGCCAGAGGTAACCACCAGCCACTTGGGGAGCCTAGTCCCCTGCACGCAGCTCTCTGCTTTAGGAACTGAGGCTGATATTTGGCATCCGCCCCTGCCTAGCGGTCCTCATATTGGTTCAGGGACTTTGTCTCTGCGTATTCAGGTCTACTTCTTGTCTCAGTCTGCTGGGAGTCAGTAACCTCCCTTAATCTTGTCTGACTTTGGCTTGGACTTTCCTGACACCATTGGTTGGAACTGGTGGTGGCAGCTTTGCCTTCCCCTGCCTGAAGCTGTTCTTTTAGAAGCTCTTGCCAGGAAACTGCATGGTGTGGACTGAGCTGCTGCCTCTGACCTCCCTTTGTCTTCGCTCATGCCTCACCTTCTTTCTCACGCAGAAATGAAAACTTCCCTCATTGGCAAGAAGAAGCCAGCAGCAGCAAAGAAAGGGGTAGGTGAGGAGAGGCAGTATGGTAAAATGGTCAGGAGCCAGAGTCAGACTGCCTGGGTTCCCCCCTGTACCCTACCACTCACTGGCTGTGTGACTTTGGCAAAGGTACTTAGCTTCTTAGAACCTTATCTGTGCAAGGCTGTCGGGAGCCTATCTTTAAGGACTCCTGGAGGAGTTGGAGGTTGTGTGCGTAGAGTGCTTGAGACATGCTGGGCTCAGTAAACATTAGCTGCTGTCAGCCAACTCTGAAGCCTCTGCTAAGCATCTGTGTACACCTCATGCCCAGCTCTAGCAGAGCGCTGTTCTCTCTCTTGACCATGCTGACTGGGCTCCTAATTTTTACCCTGGACTTTAAGAAGGAACTCTGTCCTGTAGGTGGGTTAGAGTACCCATCCTGGGAGGGAGGGGAGGATATTATGGTTGGCAAGGCCCCCATCACATGATTCTCCTCCCAGCTGGGTGCCAAGAAAGGCCTAGGGGCCCAGAAGGTGAGCAGCCAAAGCTTCAGTGAGATTGAGCGGCAGGCCCAGGTGGCAGAGAAGCTCCGTGAGCAGCAGGTGGCTGATGCCAAGAAGCAGGCGGAGGAGTCCATGTGAGTGTTTGCCAGAGGGGCCCTGGCTCACGTGGGGTTGGGTGGGCAGGAAGAACAGGTCAGGATGGGTGCTGGCCTCTGACACATTTGTTCCCTCCAAGGGTTGTCTCCATGCGTCTGGCCTACCAGGAGCTCCAGATTGACCGTAAGAAGGAAGAGAAGAAGCTACAGAATCTGGAAGGGAAGAAGCGAGAGCAGGCAGAGAGGTTGGGCATGGGCTTGGTGTCCAGAAGGTGAGGCTCGGCTCTGGGGTGTGGTGGGAAATGCTATTGTACTCCCAGGAACCATTGCAGATTCTTCTCCAGCAGTTTGGGGTTCTAGGCTTAGTCTCCCTTCAAGGCTGAATAGATGGCTCTCCTTATTATCTTAAAGCAACTGGTATAGAGCATGACACATGGTTATATGCTTACTATTTGTTGAATGAATGAAACACAGGATCAAGTGCTCTATCAATAGATCCAAGAGACTGGGACATGTTTTTTTTTTTTATTTCTTTTTATTTTTTAAATTTTTTTATCCTCACCTGAGGACATTTTTCCATTTTTTTGTTCAGATAGAGTGGGAGGGAGAGAGAGGAAGAGAGAGAGAGAGAGAAATATCGACGTGAAAGGGACACATCGAGTGGTTGCCACCCACACGACCCATCCAGGGCTGGGGACAAACTGCAACTGAGGTACGTGCCCTTAGCGGGAACCGAACCCGGGCCTCTCTGGACCGCAGGACGACACTCTAACTGCTGAGCCAAACCGGCCAGGGCTGGGATGTGTTTCTTTGTGGGAGTGCTGATGGCACTTTGAGTTGGGGACAGTTCTTTAAATTTCAAAACCTCTCTGAGAATTGCAAGGCTTTTAGCATCCCTGATCCCTGTCCACTAGGCCACTGGTGCTGCCAGACACGAACACCCGGAAATAACCCCAGACATTCATATGTCCTTTGGTTGGACAGTACGCTTCCTGTTTCAGGATGTCGTGTTGCTGTGGTTTTCTTAAACAAAAACAAGGGCTGCAGACCAGTTCTCTTAGCATTTTGTTTGCTTTACACTAAGTTAACATCTAGAGGTTTAGTATCACTATAGATGTTTTTTATCTCTTAAAAATTAGAAAGTCTGACAGCGCTGGGGCCAGAAATACTGGCTTCAGTTAGCTTGTGCTGAGTGGTGGCTGCTCCTTTCAAGGGGGCATAAGCTCCGCCATCAGCCTTATGTACTTAAACACAGCAGTCCTCTGCTGAACGCATTGTTACCCCTTTTTACATTTGAGAAAATTGAGACTCAGCAATTAAGCAACTTTTCTGAAGTCTACAAATCTAGTAATTGGCGCAAATAGTTTTTTTTTTTTTTTTTTTTTTTTTAGTAATACATGCCCCTAGCGGGAACCGAACCCGGAACTCTCTGGTCCATAGGCTGATGCTCAACCGCTGAGCCAAACTGGCCGGGGCGCAAATAGATTTTGAACATAGAATTATTTGATTCCAAATTCAGTATATCTGGCCACCATGCTCTCTCTGGAAGAAGGTGAGCTATCTGTAAGAACGTGTGCTAGCTGGATGTCAGTTATTCCCTTTCAGACTGTGTGCTACTAGTGTAATACAGCTAATCGGGGAAACAACACTTTCATCCTGAAAAGAACTTCAGGTCTCCTCCCCTTTTCTGTTTTAATTTCAGAAATTATTGGGTTAAAGGGTATGAACAGTTTTTCAGTTGTTTTTGTCCTTTTCATAGTGCAGGAGAATCTTTTATTTAAAGTCAGCCCACACTATTATAAAGCCCTGTTGCAAAATATTCACTCCCTGGGGTTCTGCCAGCTAAAAGTGTAGATTTTTTAAAATGAATTTATTTTAATAAAGTTAATCCCAAAAGGCCTGTCTGGAGCAGGACACAGGAGGAAAGTGAGGCATCAAGAGTTGGTACTGCCTGCGCAGCTCAGCCTCTTCTCACTGGAAACTGGGCAGCAGGCCCAGGCTTAGCGCATAGGGCCAGGCTTTGTACCTTGAAATGCTTGCCTCTTAAAAAACAGGTGGGATAATGAAGAACTTTGATACCATTAGACTTGTTTCCCTGGTTCTGGGGCATTTTTCTGCTTTTCCTCTTTGTGTGTGTGTTTCCATATTGGTGAAGGATGTGGCTCACATCGCACAGCAGGTCTGGTAATGAACACTATCACTGGGTACATGGTATTAAAATATAATAGGTGCCCTGGCCGGTTTGGCTCAGCGGTTAGAGTGTTGGCCTATGGTCCAGAGAGACCCGGGTTCGGTTCCCACTAAGGGCACGTGCCTCCGTTGCATTTGTCCTGGCCTTGGTTGGTCTTGCGGGTGGTGGCCACTTGATGTGTCCCTTTCATGTTGATGTTTTTCCCTCTCTCTGTTTCTCTCTCCCTCCCACTCTACCTGAACAAAAAATGGAAAAATGTCCTCGGGTGAGGGGGCAAAAAAGTATATATAAATAAATATATATATAAATATATATATATATATTTATATATATATTTATTTATATATGTGTATATATTTATTTATATATATACTTATATTTATATATATATATTTATACACACACACATACATATATATATAATAGGCAAATGGTAGTCAGGGAAAACTCCTGAGAAAACAGAGCAGGTGTGTAGACAGCCGAGGGTGTGCTTGCCTATCCAGCACCGTCCCAAGCACTCCCTACTGGGTCCGGCCCGGCCCTTTGCACAGGTAGAGGAGAAAGCTCTGGGTGGTGCCCAGTGAAGGAGAGCCCAGGCTTATGCCAGCAGCTGAGCACCTTCCCTTGGGCGGTGACAGTCGTCTCACCACCGCCCTCATGCCCGGCTCTGCTGTTCTCCGCAGCTCTGTCTCCCACTCGGTGCTGTCGGAGATGCAGGTGATCGAACAGGAAACACCTGTGAGTGCAAAATCTTCCCGCTCGCAGCTGGACTTGTTTGACGATGTTGGTACCTTCGCCTCTGGACCCCCAAAGTAAGGCTATTGTTGGGGTGAAGACTTGGCTATCATGCTCCTCATCAGGCTTCTCTGAGCCACTCTACTGTCTCCCTAGGTACAAAGACAACCCTTTTTCCTTGGGGGACAGTTTTGGTTCCCGATGGGATACAGATGCCACCTGGGGTATGGACAGGATGGAGGAGAAGGAGCCAGAAGTGACCATCTCAAGCATCCGGCCTATTTCAGAAAGGTGGAGTGGTCTAGGGCAGCACTGCCCAATAGAACTTCCTGTGATGGAGGAGTTCTGTATCTGTACTGTCCGGTGTTGTAGCCGCTAGCTATGTGGCTACTGAGCCCTTAGAATGTGGCTAGTGCAACTGAGGAGCTACATTTTAAGTTTACTTTAAATAGATTTAAATAGCCTTATGTGCTAGTGGCTACCAGCTCAGTTCAGGAGTTGGGCTTTGCTTCGGGCTGTGCTTATCATCACAGAAGGCCTGGCAGCCTCTTTTGTCCAAGAACGTTTCTGTGGCAGGGGGGTCTGACTTTATGCTTCAGCCTGACCTCCAAAGTGTCGTGTGTCCCTAGCCCCCATCTTAGTTATTTTCTTAAAAGCTTATTCCATCTTAATCTGGGTAATATGTTTAATTGGTAAATTATCTGCAGATCATCCATTTGTAAATGGGAACATAAGGAATGACTTCACAGGACCACTGGAAGGATGAAATGTATCGGAACTTGAAAACACCTACCCAGCGTCTGCATATCAGTGCTGGGTAGGAGTGACCATACACCTTTTCGTCCACACTGGGATGCCTTTGAGAGTAAAAGGTGGTACTACAGTCATCCCTTGTTTATCACGGTTAATCAGTTCCAGCTCTACCTTGATAAATGAACTTCCGCCAAGTAGGATTCTTTATTTATATAGTCGTCCCTCGCCACTTTGCACTGTACATACTATATTTGAAAAAACCACGATAGAGTGAAGCCGCAAAGTCGAAGTGCGAAGTGGCGAGGAACGACTGTATTAATAATTAGGCCAGGAGAGTAAGTATAAACCTAGCAGACTGAGACATATGGTCACACCCTAGTATTGGGCCAGTTGTAACTAGGAGTAGAGTAGCAGTAGGGACACTACGACATCCTAGACCTGATGAAGCTATAGTGGTTGGGGCAGAAGCCTAGGCCCCTCCAAATCACATTTCTATGCTGCCTAATGGAGGTAATGTAAGCTCTCTGTGCCTTGTCTTCATTGTGGAGAAGGGAGGGCCTCGTCCAGGGGAGAGGGCTCCTGAGTCCTAGAGCCAGTCAGACAGGGCCTTGGTAAGCATCCCCAGATTTGTGTCTGATCAGTAATGGGATAGTAATACTATCCCCTGACAGTAATAGGAAGGGTCAGAGATGTCCCACATCCATCCCCAGAGTCACAAACCGGAGGGAAGTGGAGAGCCGGAGCTCGGGCCTCGAGTCCAGTGAAGCACGTCAGAAGTTTGCAGGAGCCAAAGCCATCTCATCTGACATGTTCTTTGGGCGGGAGGTGGATACTGAGGTAAGTAGTGTTGTCCACCCTGAGGCTGGAGGCAGTGGGTAGAAGCAGGCCTTCCTCCTGTCAGCACTAGGGTGGCTGACTTGTGTGAGTACCTGGGACATTGCTCCAAAGATCCCCAGCCCTTTCCTTTTCTTCACCACAGTATGAAGCCAGGTCTCGGCTACAGCAGCTCTCAGGCAGTAGTGCCATCAGCTCTTCAGACCTCTTTGGGGACATGGATGGAGCTCATGGAACAGGTAGTGCCCTGGAGGTGTAGTGGGTACCAAGCAAGACCTGTGAGCCGAGTGGAGGGTTTAATGGACTTGGGCAGGGCTTCCTGCAGGCCTCTGGGTCACCCCTTCCCTTGCTTTTACAGGTAGCGTATCTCTGGGGAATGTGCTCCCCACAGCTGACATTGCCCAGTTTAAGCAGGGTGTCAAGTCTGTGGCCGGGAAGATGGCTGTGCTGGCCAATGGTGTGATGAATTCTTTGCAGGTGAGGCTGGGGCTGCTTGACCTGGGATGGGAGGGGTCTAGAGTAGTGCTTGGAGGTTGGCCTTCACCACATCCAGATACTGCTTCTGGGTAGCCCCTCAGCCTGAGAGAGCATTTTCTTTTCCTGGAGGGGCAGCTTCCTTCCTTTGAGCTCAGTACCAGCGCTGGGCCTCTCCCTATGTAGATGTCATGTCTGCACTGATGTCCCCCCAGTCTTATCACCTGTGTTACTCTTCCTCCCTCCCCAGCTTCTGTGAGATCAGGCAGGGCTTCCCCTTGGGATCAGGCCACAATCTCTTTCCCAAGTCACAACAAAATATAAAACAATTTCTGCCATGGTGAGATTGATCTCCCCCACCCCCGCCCCAGTCCTGCCTGGTGTGTTGGGGGAGAGTGCACACGCTGGGAAGCTGCTGCGGGTTAGAGGTGCTGACTTTGTTTCTTCTTCCCCCATTTCCAGGATCGCTATGGTTCCTACTGATCCAAACTCCGCGGCTCAGACATGGTGGTGACAGCAGCAAAGACCCCATGATTACCAGGCCAGGGCTGCTTGCCTTTGGAAGCCGGGGAGGAATCGTTACATGTGTGGTGTATGAGTGGGGTGGCCTTTGAGGGTCTCTGGTGAGGGCATGGGCGGTACTAGCCCTTGACCTCTGCCTGTAGATCGAGCCCTTTATTCTCCCTCACACCCTCCCTGTGTGCTAGATTATTGTCCTTCCAGTCCTGCTCCCAAAGCTGCTGCTCACTTGTCCTGCCACACTGGGAGTGGGGGAGGGCGTCTCCTCAGGATGGCTTATTCTGGGTCTAGCCCTTCCCCGAGTAGGGAAGTGAAAAGTGTAAGGCTCTTTGGCCAGCTCTAGGGTCCTTCCAGGTCGTCTGGGGTTTGGCCCCGTCCTCTGGAACCAGTAGGGAGGTCTAGGGAGAGTTCTGCGGTAGACCAGCCCAGAGGAGGGGAAGCTCTGATGCTGCTGGGTCCCAAGAGCGGGCAGGGGAGGCGAAGGACCTTCGTCTGGGCCTTACTAAGGGCTAGAAACTTTACCTGGTACCTAAAGGTTTCATTTGGGGTCAGGCTGGAGGCCCGAATGATGATCTGTCTCAGCACCCCTTTTACAGTGGTCACTTGGAGGATGACTTTTCCTCCTGGGTGTCTAGGAGTTGTTCCTTACCATCCATGTGGACCACAGCACCCTCTGTCCCCTCCCAAGACTGTCCTTTTTTCCCTTGCTTGGTGGCAATGGTGAGTCTCATCTGCCCTGTGCTGTCCTGCTCTGGATGCTGTGGGCATGATGCTGGCCGAGGAAGCAGAGGACGTGAGGGACAGAAGCAGCCTCCTGGGGCTCAACTTTCTTCCTCTGTATCATCCTGGGCTTAGGGGGGCCTGGACAGCACCCCACTTGTGAGAGCTGGAGGTACCTAGAGCTGTAAGCCTCGCCCCTGGCCACTGGGCCGTGCACTGTGTCCGCCGTGGTGCCATCTTCCCTGCCGTGCTGGCAGTCGGCCCTCGCCACCCCCTGTGGGTTGAAGGTCGGGCTCCCAAGCAACACAAACCACTCTTCCCACCACCCCTCCCCAAAAGGGACTTGACTTTCTTTCTGGACTGTTTGTATTGAAACATAGTGGTGTCAAATAAAGCCCCGGCGGGGCCCTGGGCCCCTGTTGGTCTGAGTGAAGTGGTGTCCTCTGGATCCTGCCTCCCTGCCCAGCATAGGTCCCTTGCCTCACTCTCTGGGCTCCCACCGATACAGGCAGGGCGTTGGTGCCGAAGCTGAGGGAACTTTCTCCAGGGCCTCCAGCTTGTCTCTTCTCTGGAAGCCAAAGTCCCCTGGCTTCTCGGCCCTGTGCTGCCTTGAGGTCCGGTGCAGCCTCGACCTCACCACCCTGTTGCACGCGGAGGAAAGAGTGGGTGTTAGTTGGCCCTTTCACTCATCCTCAGCCATGTGGCTGCGGGCAAGCGAGCAACCTCGGCATCCCTGCGCCTCTCCCAACAGTAGGCTCGACTCGGGGTGTTTCTCAGGGGAGTTTAATAATAAAATACACAGACCTTAATGGAATCCTTTAAATCCAGAAAGAAATGTGTGTGTGTATAAACCCCTGGCTTGGCAACCCCTTTCCCTCACAGGGGCTCTTAGAACATCTCTACCACCTTGGGGTTATTGGGGTACAGTTTTAAAACACTGGAAGATGGATGATTAGGAAGGATGGGTGGAGGGAGCCATGTGATCTCTTCTAAGCCAGTGATTTCCAAAGCATGGATCCAGAGCTTCCAGCTTTGGAATGGTCTGGAGTGTTCGGAATCCAGGTTCCGTGCCCCATCCCAAACTGGAGTTGGGTCATTTGCATTGTAAACAATCCCCAGGTGATTCTGATGCACACAAGGATTTTCCAGCTGCTTTGAATCTTAGGCTGGATGTGTTTGTGGCCTGGAGAGCTGCCAGGATCCTGGAGCTTCAGTGGGCCTGGCTCTGCAGGGCTCCAGGGGCCAGTTCCTGTAACTCCAGGGAGGCTGCTCTGGGCAGGGATGAGCCCAGGGGAATGTGTGCACCCAGTGGTGGGACCTTGGGTTTTGCTTCAGAGGAGGCAGCCTGCTCTGCTTGGGTCCCTGGGTGCATTTTACTTTCTGGAGGACCCTGCCTTCCTGCAGCCTTGGTTGGTGGCTTGTACTTCACAGGCTGTGTTCACAGCTGCATCCCCACTGCCCTAACCCTGAGCAGGTAACTGGCAAATACTGAATGAAACTGGCTAGAAGGCTCTGCAGTACTGACTCTTTGTGGCCAGGGTTTTTAAAGTTATGGGAACCTGGCCTTGGACCCCCTCAGCTTGTTTCCTGAGGCCCATTCCAGATGTGAGTACCTCTCCTTTGAAAGGCTGTCATGTGCAAGAGGTAAGCGTCTCTGCTCATTATCTGCGGCTGGTCTCCAGGCTGAGTTGGTCCTCTGACCCTCACCTCCCAGAAAAGCTGGGACTCTGCACCAGAATCCAAACACCCCTTCCCTTCACCCCCTCCTCGGTCTAGTGGGTTTAGACTCACCACTTAGCAGACACAAGGGACTTTATTCATTTCACATTTAACTAATAGACGAGAGGCTTGAAGCAGTGTTTGAAAGTGAAATGGCCGTCGTGCCCACCCTCATCCCATCATGGCCTGTGGCTGTTTCTCCAGTAGAAGGCCCCTGCGCTCATGTCCTCCCATACTTGTATCACTGCTGTCACCCGAGCATGCAAGGTCCTGCGTGGCTATTCATGGTTTTCCCCCTCCCTAGAGTAGCTGTGAGATGAACCTTATGTGGGGACTGTTAGCAAAAGGCTAAGGCTAAGGCCAAGTCCCTTCCCAGTGGCCTCAGTTTCATCTGCTGTCAGGAAAGCGCAAGGCTGACGGGTTGGGAAAGTAGGCTAGCTTTCTTGAATCACACTGCTTGGGTTGGCTGAAACCCCTCTGGCGGATCTTGGCCTGGGTCTATTATTTGGCCTTTCACCAGCAGAGGGCAGCATGGCACAGGCAGGAGGAGTTGGGCGGGAGTAGGAGCGGGGTACAGGGTGTTGTAGACGGGCCCTTCACACTCCTCAAGTCTCGGACTCGTCTGTCTCTTCAGTGGAGCCATCACTCTCTGCATCCACTTTGCGGGCATGATGGAGGGGTCTCCATGAAAAGCCAGCCCGATGAGGGGTCCGGGAAGGCAGGCAGCTGGCCTCTGGACTGGCAGTGACTGAGGTGACCAGGTCTGGGATCTGGGCCAGCCTGAAGGAGGAAAGAAGCCCAGAGGGCAGCAAGGTGCCTCCTGTCCAGAGATCAGGACCTCCACACACTTGCATTTGGATGAAACCATGGGCTACATTCCCAGGGGACTCAAAAGAGACTACTTTAGGCCTCTGCTGGCCCTTAAGCCCTTCCCTGACTGATGGGGGTGTTATGGACAAGCACTGTGTGACCCCACAATAGGGCATTGCCATGTCCCACTGAGGTTTGCCCCCACAAGGGGGCAGCATCTCCCCACCTGACACTTACAGTCGGTCCAGCTCCTCATCCATGGCTGGGTCGTGCATCAGGTCCCCTTTGTCAGGCAAAGCTCCTAGGAGATTTGGGGGGTGGGACACAAAACTTAATCTGAGGGTCCTTCAACCAGGCCCCAGTCAGGCAGCCCCATTCCCAGCAGATGCCTCTGTGCCCCTCACCTTCGTATCTGCCTACTTGGGCTGATCTAAAAGGTATGGGGAAGAGCTTTTAAGATGTTTAAGAGGTCTGCTCTTAGGGCAGAGAATCTTGGGTACTGCTGGATACATTTAATGTTTATAACATTTAATAGCCCTGCTGCCTGCCCCTCCCCCACCCCACTAAGGGCAGAAGCCACAGATAAGGAGACATCCCTAGATGGTGGATTGTGAGCTGGTGCTAGGGGTTTAGTCCTTCCTTGAGGCACCCCAGTTTTGGGCCAAAAAGGAGCCAGAGATACATGATATGGCCCAGGCTAACCACAAACACCAGAAATTATCTAGATTTGTGCTCCCAAATCAGGGTGACCCAATTTTGAAGACAATGGTAAAAAATGCTACCTTAGCTCCTCCAGGGAGGGTCCCAGGGATGAGAAGAGAAGACTGGGTCAGGAGCAGACCAAACAAACTCTCTTCGGCATGGCCGGAGGCCACCAGAAGGAGAGCTGTCCCATCTCTGCTCTGTCACAAATCTCTCAGCTGGTTCCCTCAGCTCTAAACCAAGGGAACGATTCTATGATACTGGGAGGAGAGTCTTGGATGCTCCCAGGAGCTGTTAACATGGGAGGGAAGGAGGAACTGAATTTTGCAGATAAAAGATTCTCACTAGCACATTGTTGAGGGAAAAGAGCTCCCTGGTGGTCAGAACCTTGATCTGGCAATTAACAATGCTGGTGTCTAGAAAGCCTCACCTTAAAATGACCTATCTGGCTTAGTTCAATTTCTTCTCTCCCTCCCTCCCTTCCTTCTTTCCATTAATCCTCACCCGAAGATATTTTTCCATTAATTTTTATTAAAAATTTTTTAAAAATTGATTTTAGGGAAGAAGGGAGAGATAGAGATAGAAACGTTGATGAGAGAGAACATCGATTGGCCACCTCCTTCATGCCCCCCACTGGGGATTTGGCCCACAACCTGGGCATGTGCCCTGACTGGGAATCAAACTGGCGACCTCTTGGTGCATGGGTTGACGCTCAACCACTGAGCCACACCGGCCGGGCTCCATTGATTTTTAGATAGAGTGGAAGGGAGAGAAGGAGAGAGAGAAACATTGATGTGAGAGAGACACATTGATCGGTTGCTTCCCGCACAACCCCACGGGCTGGGGATCAAACCTGCAACCCAGGTATGTGCCTTTGACTGGGAATTGGACCTGTGACCCTTTGGTCTAGGGGCTGACGCTCTAACCGCTGAGCCAAACTGGCCAGGGCAATTCCCATCTTTCCAAAGCTTTTCAAATGATGCCTCCTGGTCCTTTTTGCTCTAAGTTAGTGGTTTTCAAACTGTGTACTAAGGAACCCTCTCATTTTGTGCTGGTGGTGGGGTGCCTTGACAATAAGGGAATAAATAGGCTGACAAGGGCTGCAGCCAGGGATCTCCAGATCTCTATCTCCTACGTGGGAGATGCAGGTGAGGCAGAGACCATATGCCTCTTTGTATCTCCCACTCCACCCAGCATTAGTGCTCCGTAAAAGTGGTTGACGGAGTGATGGTTCTTTTTAAAGGCCCTAGAAATAGTCAGAGTATGTGGTTAGTCCAGGCTGTGACTCAGATGCTACTTAGCTTTTCCTTCCTAGTGACTGTTATTGGTGGAGAGGAAGGGAGGGTGGTCAGTTACCTAGGAGTGTGAAAGAAAACCTAAACAAATCCCCGCCTGCTACTCCCTTGCTCTTGACTTCTGACTCCTATTTGCCTCCTTTCCACTCTCTTCCAGCTGGTGACCTTGGCTACCACCAACCTCTGGTGGAGGGATCTCCAGACCTGCGCATGCCTCAAGCATTGACTCAGAATAACTGGGCTGCCAGGTGGCACGCTGGCTGAGTGGGCCCTCAGTCAGTGCTGCTGGTGTGTGCACGCCCATGCACCCCAGAGCACCCCAGCAGGCTCTATCCTGTATACGATCTAAAGCAGCTAGCCCACTGTTGGCCTACTGTGGCTGGCATTTAATGAGTGTTACATTTCCTTCTCTTGACCTCATTCCCTCAACTGGCAGAAGGAAGGGAAATACGGTGTGTCTCTTCTTTGAGACTCAGGAAGCTGTGATCCCCAGCACACCTGGATACCTCTCAGAGAGAGACAAATAAGAACCCCTCAAGCTCCACTGGATGGTGATCTGGTGGTTCCTGCCCTAGGAGAGCAACAGGTGTGGGAAGGGGCTTGGGCAGGGAGTGAAGGCCAACCAGTGAGAATGAAACAATGGACAGAAAACCTGGGCCAGTGCAGGTCCCCCCCCTCTTTTTTTGCTCCCTTTCAGATTAATCAGATATTTTTTTCCAGCTGGGGAAAGGGCCTCCCCAGTCCAGCTGCTGTGGCTCAGCTGGTTGAGCATCATGCCGTGAACCAGGGTTGCAGTTCAATTCCGGTCCGGGCACATACCGGGTTTCGAGCTCAATCCTCAGTAGGTGGCATGCAGGACACAGCTGATGGATGTTTCTCTCTCATCCATGTTTCCATCTATCTCTCCCTCTCCCTTCCTCTCTCTCTAAAATCAATAAAAACATACATATTTTTTTAAAGGTCTTCCTAGACACACCGTTGCCCTATTTACAAATGAGATTCAGGTGTCTTTGATATATAATCATTCAGAGGCTCTGAGTAAATAGCTCCATGTCTGCCAGGCTACTCCCCCAAACAGAACTGGGATTCTCTGGGGAGGGGCTGGGCACACCTCTGCCAGGGAGAGGGGCTTCATGTTGTGGCAGGGCTTCAGGCAGGGTAGGCTGTCCCTCCACATGGAGTATGAGAGGCCTAGGAGAACAGTCTTGTGCACATCCTGGCTCCTTAGATCTCGGAGTCTGGCCCTGAGAAGTCAAGGCAGAGATGGCGATGCCCTCCTCATGGGCCAGTCGGCCAGTGGAGGCCAGCTCCTATAGGGCTGTGCATTGTGTGGCCAGAAGAGGCTGGCCACAGCTAGCTCTGGCTCACCTAGGGCTTGGTTGATTCCACGATGCTTTGAGAGAGCCACAAGGAATCCATAGAAGGTTAGTCTCTGAACGTTGCTTAGGACCTCTTTGACAAGTGCTGGGGGTGGGCAGCTAGAAGAGAGAATACATGCCAGATTAGAAGATGAGCAAGTCTGAGTGTCAGCTTTTTATTTACACCTTCCTGACTGCCCTGGGGGCCCTAAGGCCCTGGGGGCGCGTGGCAGATGTCCAGGAGCAGGGAGCAAGGCCTTGACTGTGAATACGAAGGGCTGGCATGTTCACCAGTTGGTGCTTTTACCGCAGGGGAGGAGAGGAGGGGATGGAGAAATGGCAATAGACAACAGCCTCTTCTAGAAACCAAAAGTGGCTGCTCTGTCTCCAAGCAGACTTTGAGCCACACATGACAGCTTAACCCTCCCTTTCTGTACAGTGAATTCTTTATCAGTGAAT